CCGAGGGCTCACTTTACTAGAGCTTTTATTCTGTACTAGTAGAATATATAAACCCTGTACTCTCAGGGTAGCATTGTGGCTACTTCTGCTAAAATTAAAACCTTACCAAAGAAACTTAGTCTCAAGTTCCAATTTGTAGCATTAAAGTAAATTTTGTGCACTGGTGAACTGAGGGCCCATCGTCTGATTGGATTTTCTTTATTTGCAGTAACTATCCAGAGCTCTTATTTTCGTATGTAGCCCTACGATTTACCTCCTAAATATTACCATTCATCAAAATCATCTTATTTGTTCAGATTCAGTAATTTGGCATTTGACATAGTTCATCTGAGGGACCACATTCGGCGAGTTGTAGCGTCCAACTTACAACACCTACAAATTTATCATTCTGGCTACATTTGTTTTAGAGGTTCTGCTAAATCTTTATGTATACGAAACCTTCGTTTTCCACAGTGGCCTCTCGAAGGGAACGCACATATGGATTATTGGCCAGGGATTCCAGTAATAGAAAAATAATTACCCAATTTTTTTTGTAACTTCCATAATATGATAATAAAAATTCAAATAACCATTTTGAAATGATCAGTACATTTTTAAGCCTTAGTTTTTCAAGTGAAACCTTAAATTCAAGAAAGGATTATTTTTTAATTTGTGAAAATGCTCTCCATTCTTAGTGGGAATGTTTCAATGTTGACAACACTTCTGAAATGTCAAAATTCCGTCGAATTAAAAATCAGAGTTTAGATAACTTTATTGCGTAAAAAAATGTTTTTGCACAAAAATATTGTGGAATAATCTCACTTTGTTCAGCTGGAGTAATACAATTTAGTTATAAATACATTTTAGGCATAATTTTTACTTACAATATCTAAGAATCAAGAAAAATTTCAGCGTAATTTAAACATACAATCTTCAGCAAATACAATCAGCATGAAATTAGAAAATGACTAATAGTAAATGTGAAACTTTAAAATGTTTCCACAGCTCACGAATTATTGGAAATATTATTGAAGAAATTAAAAAATCACTAACAATCAGTGACTAGAGAGATTTCATTAGTATAATGAATGATATTAGATTTATTGCTTTCACTGGAAGAAAATGTTCTAAACCACTAAGGAATTGATTATTATAAGGAGACTACTATTTATTTGATGTCAGTCTTATGAGTTTTTTTTACTTTGTTAAACCATTATTTAACCAAGTTATAAATGGGCAATCAAAAATCCGATTTTAAACGTTTTTAAGGTTTAACACATCAGTTTGAAAAAAATACATTATTTTGGCGGTGAAATAGCTTTGATACAAAATTACTGCTATTTAATTAATATTGTACGATACGTGTGCATACTTCTACATTTCACTAAAATTATTTGAACTATGTTACCAGAGTTAGATGCTTGAATGAACTTTTACCAGGTTCCAACAACCATGCATTGTTACGGTTTTTTATTTCCATGTTTCTTTTCTATATTTTCGCACTTAAATATTAAATGTCTTACATTATTAGAAAATGTTTATAAAATAACAGAAAACGGGTTTGTGACAAACTAGGCACTCGCGCTTCGGAAGCCACAGGAAATGTACAACCTTTCAATCACAATATTATGCATTGCTTAATTTAAAGGTTTTAAACCTTATGAAAGATACTTGTTATTTAACATTTACTTAACCACAAGCATTTTAATATTTATTAACTGAAAGAAAATTAAGTTGGTGATGCTAGCGATAGCCTAACAAGATGATGAGTATGACTTAAGATATTTCGTGACCAAGATTACCTATGTGACTTAGGTTAATACATAAATTAAAACTTCATGGATTAAAATAGAGCACATACCAATGAGAGAGAAAATACTTAATGTGCAATGAATAAAGTAGGAAATCCATTTAAAGACGATCCGAAATTGCTAAAGAAGCAAAAGGCGATATTTCTTTGCTGATTAATTTAGGCAGTTTACAGCAGCATTCAAATTAGGCGTATAATAAATTGTCAATAATTTATAATAATAATAAATACTTAACGATCACTCGACGCAGGCAAGCAAGTCGACTTTTTATGTAATTTATTTTATAAATAACGCAAATTACGATACATTGTTATAATTTAACTTTGACTTAACAAGATGAACGCACACACAACTATTTTTCTTATAAAATCGTACAAAACTTTTTCATGACGTCTTTAAAAACGTCATTTCTAACAACCACAAACTAAAAATAAATATTTTATTGAACTTTAAAGTCTGACTGCTGGGAATCTAGACTGCTGCGCGGCGTCCAACGTGTTACTGTAATTAGATTAGCGCCAGAAACCTATTGCCGACTTAACATAGCCATAATATCACGTCGTCTTGCAAGCGTTCGTTAAACATATCCGAATACAGTAGAACGCCGATTATCCGAATTAATTGGGACCGGGGTCGATTCGGATAATCGAAAATTCGGATAATCGGACATAGACTGGTAATAGAGAAAAAGGAACTGTCACACATAGAATAAACTTTATTATGTTTATCAAACAGACATATTTCTACTGAGCGTTATTATAGAACTGCTACAATAACACTCACTTAAAATATATCTGAGTTCCAACAAAACAAATCAAAAAGTACTTGGTTTTAATTTTTAATATTATGCTTAGGACCGATTCGGATAATTGGCGATTCGGTTAATCGGCGTTCGGATAATCGGCGTTCTACTGTAGTTCCATGCCTGCTCGCCGCGTATCCGAACACAAGTCGCGCCTACTTCATTCTCCGTAGAAGCATCCGAGCAGCGGGCAGCGCGCGCGCGCCGTCTGTCAGCGCCATGGCCGCCGCCGCGGGCTGGCCGGGTACCGCGCTCGGCTGCACTTCTCGCCGCTAAATGTCTCTGGAAATTCAACAAATAATGTTAAATAGGGCACATGAAATAATAAAAAAGGCTACTTATGCCCATAATCTGAAACAACGCTCAAGTGTGAGTATGGACTCATCCTGTATAGCCAGGATCAACAGTATTGTCGCCAATTAATACTAATCCCAACCAGACTTCCTGGGGTGAAGCTGACTGTATTGGATTTATGAATAAATTTAAAACAATTTGGAATGTATTTTAGAGATAACATGGATTTATCTTTCCCCCTTACTAATAAAAGTTACACCCTGTTCATTGTTCAAGTGTGAATTTTTATTAGTAAGGGGGTTAATCTTAATGAAAAGAGAAAATAAATGTGACTAAAATGAGATTAAGTTAACATAAAAGATCCTACAGGATTGCTCATGCTAACATTACATGCTTGTTGCAACAAAAAATAATGTTATAACATAAGACTGCCAACATACAAAGATATATCCTAGCGAAGACTGAAAAGTAAATAAAAGAAAACAGAACAACGGCAGCATGCTTGCAATATTCTTATTCGGTGTTACCACGTGATAAATAACTAAATTAATAAGCTTGCAACATTCAAGGCTGTCTTAGAAACAAAAACAGGCGGCTGCCAAGCTGATCAACTGAAATGACTGGCAACATTGAAGTCAGTGTTACCATAGTTGGACTGAGTCATGAGCGACGCCGCCGAAGGGCGCCGGGAGCGTGCCGGGAACGCGCCGGTGTGGCTTTGCGACATTAGGTCCCTGTTTTGTGGAAACAATTGACCTTAGTTCATACACATTCTAGACTTAACTTTAATATTATCTGAAAAAGAACGTTAAACGAATCGGGTATCGACCTCTACATGCATCTACGGTTGGTACGTTATGGTATGGTAGATTAGTTCAGTTATTCTGTAATGTAAAAATATTAAAATGGGAGAACTTTACTTATATTTAAAAGCCTTCAACTTTATGTAAGACAGAACTCTAAAAAGCTATTCGAAGATTAGAAAGAGCAAGATTTTTTAGATCTCATCAATGTTCCTATAGAAAAATCCTCTTTGAAGTTTAACTCTTTTCGTTTGTGTATTATATCAAGAAACTGCCTGGGAGGGGTCATCATGATTAAAGCTGCTGCCCGTATTCACCAGGGTCAGTGCCGTAGGATATTCGTCCCCTCCCTGGTGGACTAAGGAACCTGCTGAATCAGTGACAGAAACCGTAATTCGATTATTTCGCTGCTGCCTGCTATTCTTATATTAGAAGGTTGTAGATCGTTCCATCCACGAAGACGCGGCCCACCAATTTTTAGTCGAGGGAAGCGCGGGATGTGGGGATTTGATCCGAGCAATCCAAGCGTCATTATTGTAGTGTGCGTGTGCACTCATGGATAATTTACCGTGTACCGATAACACTCAAACATTAGGGGAAGAATGGTGGTGCGCGTCTTCGTGAATGGAACGATCTATAGTCTGGTCCGTGAGCACGTAGAATTTTGTCCAATGACCACAAGCTACCCATCCTTATCGCTCGCGCGTAATTATATTGCTGTCGCGACTGTGCGACGGGCGCCCGCAGTGAGTGTGCGAGCAACATAATTACGCGCGAGCGATAAGGATGGGTAGCTAGGGGTCATTGGACAAAATTCTACGTGCTCACGGACCAGACTATACAGGGTGTTAGGTAAATGGGTATATGAGCCGGCACTAGCCCATGTTAACATGGTCATATAAATGGTATGGTGAAGTCAAAAATTTGATATCATTTTATTTTTTTTAATTTTCATACAAAATAAATTTTATAAAATCCGATTTGTATGAAAATTAAAATAATTAAAATGAAGATATCAATTTTCTGACTTCACCATACCATTTATATGACCATGTTAACATGGGTTAGTGTCGGCTCATATACCCATTTACCTAACACCCTGTATATTCCATCAGCTAAAGTCTTTTAAGTGACTTACGTGGGCCGATGAGCCCTCGGCGGCGGAGGCCTGGCGGCGAGCGCGCGGCGGCGGCCGCGGTCGGCGGCGATCATGGCGCAGCGCTCCGCCGGCGTGCTCGTTATAAACGTGTCGTGAAGCGCGTAGCACGCCGCCGTGATCTGAAGAGGGAGGTTTGTTTATTGACAAGTTAAACCTGGAACCTTGTCGGTCGTTTGGTGTAGTGGTTCGAAACGGACTACTATTCCGGAGGTAGCGGGTTCGATTCCCGCACAGTACAAACATTAGTGTGCAGGAACATTTGTTTGTATTGGACTGGGTGTTAACTATGTATAATAAGTATGTATTTACAAAAAAAAAGTATTTAAGTATGTTTATATCCATTGTCTAGTACCCATAGTACAAGCTTTGCTTAGTTTGGGACTAGAGGCACAGTGTGAAATGTCCAAGGATATTTATTATTTATTTATTAAAAAAAAACCTGATGTGTATGTATGATGCTGTCCTTACAATGTTTCAAAGAGTAAGTTCGAACATGCTTTGATAAAGGGTTATAAAAATGCATGCTAAGGTTGCAGGAATTAAAGAAGAATGAACAAACTTTTTTATAACTAAAATGATCGTACATGCTTTGAAAAGAGAGAAATAAAATATGCAAGTAACTCCCATGGTAGAATAGGAGTGAGAATGGTGATGACTGGAAACAGTTACTTACTTTCATGCTATAAGACTAGGCGAGCTAAAGGTGTTCAAAAGTCCATACTTTTATTTTGTAGAGGAAGTAGCCCCATGCTTTAGTAAATCAACATAAAACGCAAATAAAGAGGTATCGTTCATCTGTACACTTAAAAATACTTGTATACCAAACACCAAGTAAAACCACAAGTGCAAAGAATAAGCGAAAGCACAAACAGATGAACAATAATTATGCAATCAGAACCCATCAGGTTAAACCGCAAGTGCAATAAAATAAAGCCATGCAGAACTATGAGGTCGTCCATATACATCTTCACCTGCTGATCATGCAGGCAGTACTAAAGCCTGGTCTGTGAGCACGTCGCGACGGGCGCCTGCGTGAGTGTGCGAGCGCGACAGCAATATAATTACGCGCGAGCGAAAAGGATGGGTAGCTTGGGGTCATTGGACAAAATTCTACGTGCTCACAGACCAGACTATAGCCTGTGCAATAAAATGCAAGCGGGAACACAAATAAACATGATATGAACCATGCAGATTGCAGAACCATCAGGTCGTCGACATAGTCAAGACCCCACCTGCTGTATGAGCCGGCGATGGAGCCCTACGTCGGCGCCGCGGATGCCCTCGCGCTCCTGATGCAGTTGCAGCGCGCACAGCAGCGCGTCGCGGATGGTCTGCACCGTGCCCTGCACGCGGTCCGTGCGGAGCAGCCGGCGCACCAGGAAGCCTTTCGCGAAAGCCACTATTTTGGTAGCCGCCGCTCGCTACAATCCAAGTAGCGGTTCATTTTGGTACATAGTCATACATAAAATTGTGGATGGACGGATCAGCAAGGAATTGAAATAAAATGCCTCTTTGATATCTTGATTTGTAAAAAACTAAATACAGTATAGTAAAGATAGGCAAACGTGCGGAGCCGCCTCCGCACCAGGTAGCCTTTCGCGAATGCCACTATTTTGGTCGCCGCCGCTCGCTACAACCCAAGGGACGGTTCATATTGGTACATAAAATTGTGGATGGAAGGATCGGCAAGGAATTACAGTAAACATGCCTCTTTTACATCTTGATTTGCAAAATCTAAATAGAGTATAGTAAAGATAGGCAGACGTGCGGAGCAGCCTCCGTATCAGGTAGCCTTTCGCGAAAGCCACTATTTTGGTAGCCGCCGCTCGCTACAACCCAAGTGGCGTTCATTTTTGGTACATAAAATTGTGGATGGAAGGATCAGCAAGGAATTACAGTAAAAATGCCTCTTTTACATCTTGGTTTGCAAAATCTAAATAGAGAAAATAGTAAAGATAGGCAGACGTGCGGAGCCGCCTCCGCACCAGGTAGCCTTTCGCGAAAGCCACTATTTTGGTCGCCGCCGCTCGCTACAACCCAAGTGACGGTTCATATTTGTTGTACATAAAATTGTGGATGGAAGGTCGCTACAACCCAAGTGGCGGTTCATTTTGGTACATATTCATACATACAATTGTGGATAGAAGGATCAGCAAGGAATTACAATAAAAATGCCTCATCTTGATTTGCAAAAAACTAAATAGAATACAAACATAGGCAGACGTGCGGAGCCGCCTCCGCACCAGGTAGCCTTTCGCGAAAGCCACTATTTTGGTCGCCGCCGCTCGCTACAACCCAAGTAGCGGTTCATTTTTGGTACATAGTCATACAAATAAATTGTGGATGGACGGATCAGCAAGGAATTGGAATAAAATGCCTCTTTAATATCTTGATTTACAAAAAACTAAATAGAATATAAAGATAGGCAGACGTGCGGAGCAGCCTCC